TTTTTTTCTTCCTGTTGTAGATATCTTTTTGATAAACTGCAGCTTGAAGAATCAGTTTAATTAATAAATGACTGACTAGCTAAACAAAGTCAGCTGCTGCCATCTTAAAACTGCTCCAGTCTCAATAAATTTAAAGCGGTCCATACAAACACTATTTTGTCAACATTATGTTGCTGTCAGGTTAACAATACAAAGTTATTTGCATTAATTTTTTATTTTATTTTCATGAGCAGCAGCTAGCTGTTTGCATATCCAGCAGGAAGTAAATACACTTTTTACTGGAATAACAGAGTTATGTGAGGCATAAAGGGTTATAAAATAATGTTTGCTTGAACCAACCATCTTTTGACGTTGGTGCTGTTCATTTTAGTTGTCAGCTCGAACCTGAGGCTGTTCAAAGAGTTATGTAGAACAGGTAGGATACCAACTGTTCACAACCTTTTCTCAGAATCTCACTTTTAAAATGGCCTACTTAGGAGTTATAAAAAATAACAGATTTTGAAGCCAACATCCTACACTTGGCAAAGCACAGAACTTTGACTCTCATTAGCTGCTGCGTAGTGAAACCCACAGAGACCAAAAGTAGCTAATGAATGTAAAACTGAAGCTCTTGCAGGGTCAGTAGGAGTGTTATCCTGCTTCTACTTGATGATGCATCATGTTGGTACAGTCTGATTCCATCTGTCTCCGCAGGTGTGAGGGCTTTCTGAAGCGCGTGGCATGTTTTTACCGCTGCTCCCCTGATGCTTCCCGCTGGCCTCATCCTCACCGCCGCTCATACATCCAGGCTGTGCCGCTCTGCCACAGCTTCTGCCGTGATTGGTGAGGCTGCCAAACACGCTGCCGAGCTAAGCTAAATCAAAATCAGTATCTGTCCCTGTTCACATTTAGGACTGTCAAGAGAAAGATTACTGTCTTGTCTAAGAACAACACCGTTGTGCACTAAGATAAAATGCCCAATAAAACAAATGTAAAACTGTATCAAACAGGTAAGACAACACTCATAATAACTTATGTACGATGGGGCATTTGTGTAAGGAAGTTGGATTTAAAATGATTGAAATATACCCATTTTTTATTTTATGATCACACACAATATATTCCTGGAAGTACGCAAGGACAAACTGTTCACATGTACAGAGAATTTATAGTTTCTCATCTAAATTA